ACATAAATCTAAAATTTAAATAAAAATATGAAAACTTTCAAACCAAGCTATTCATGTTGTTTTCCTCTTGAAAACCTAAAATCATTATCTCATGATTTTATCAAAAATCATGTAAATCAACATCAAATATCATAAACAATTCATGTTCTTTCCATTCGAACATATTTTAGAACTTTCATTTTAATTCCACATTCCTTCCTTTCATATTTTGTCATAACTTTCACATTTTTCATTATAGCCCAATGTATATGTAAGAGAATACAAGGTACGTGAGTCAGACGAGTGTGTGCAATAAGTACTTTAGTGCTTTCATCACAATCTGAACAATATAAACACACACAGTGCTATCACATTGGAATCATAATATGCACGCAAAGTGAAATTATATCTGAAAAATATACTAGTGTACCCTCCGGTAATACCACAATATATCATAAGCACACAGAGTGCTATCACATTGGAATCATAATATGCACACAAAGTGCAATCATATATGAAAAATATACTAGTGTACCCACCGGTAGAGGTGCACAAAAAATCCGAATATCCGATTTTGCGCAAAAAATATCCGAAACCGGATTTGGGAAAAATCGGTTTTTTTAAACCGGATCGGATATTTTTAAAACCGGATAGTATAATCGGTTTGGGAAAAAATTGGACGATCGGATTTTTTACCGGATTAAAAACCGGTTTGAAAAAAACCGGATAAAAAACTGATTTTTTATCCGAGAAAAAAATCCGGTCTGGGGTTTAAAAATTCGGTCTGGAGTTTAGAAAATTGGATGACCGGATTTTTTACCGGATTAAAAACCGGATTTTTTAAAAAACTAGTTTTTTTTCAAACCGAAACCGGTTACACCGGTTACATCATCCGGCCCTCCAAACCGGTTATGATCCGAACCGGTTTTTTTATAAACCGGTTTTTTGGCTTAGTGAAAAAACCGGATCGGTTTTTATCCGATCCGGATCGGATTTAAATCCGGCTATGTGCATCTCTACCCACCGTAACACCACAATATATCATAATCACTCCACCTCATGACATGTCAATTGTACCTACAATTCTTAATGCAATATACAATGAGCTTTACTTTAAATTCATATAATTTATTATTCAACGTTTCCAATTATTAGCATTTTCCAATATCATTCTCATAAAAATCATAATTTAGCAGTTTATACTCTAAACATTCATAAAACATTTATACGAACATTATATAAATAATTCATATTTAAAATAGAAAATATATACTCTAAAATAATACGAGGTTGACTTGTCACAAGTCATCTTCAAGCAAATTAATTAAATAAACTTATGTACTCATTTTAACACTTTACTTATAAATCAAAATATAAGTTTTAGGTTTAATCCTTTGCTTTCCATTGTTTCAACTACACTATTTATCAAAATTTCATATTTTGGTAGTTTGCGCTATCTTCAAAGAAATATTATTCTGTTTGCACCAATGAAAACTAGACTCGAATACAAATCTAACCATATAAGGCACTCCATCTATTTCTACTTGTACAATTTATAGCAAATTTTCAAAGTTGACTGACAGAAGTTGTTTTGGACAGAATTTGCTGCCCTGTTTTCTGACCTATCACCAATTAAAAATTCATATTTTTTGTATACTCATCGAAATCAATTTTTGTTTGATCTAAACAAAACTAGACTGATATACAAATACAAAGGTATACGATTCATCATTCAATTATTTTTGTATAATTTCTAGTAATTTTCTAAACTTATTGTATATAACATAATTTCTAGGCAGATTTCATCAACTTGCATCCTTAATTTATTCACTAATTCTATTAACTTACCAATTGAACATATAGGCTTGAATCATACTTCACATATACTAGGAGTCACTTTTTAACATAACTCCGACACTGACTCATCGCAAGCCAATGTTTGTTCGATAACATAAATACAAATGAAATGCACTCACTTTTGCCTCGCTACCGAACCTTCTCCACAATATTATATTCTCGATCCCACACTTTTTCTTTCCTTTCAAACTACATGGATCACTAGATTTACCGTGATCTGACGACATTATATAATAATATCGAACTAACATAATCTAAACGAAATTATAAAATTCGATAGAAATAAAATCAATACTTGAATCGATATAAAACTAAATCATACTTCCTTCATAATTTCAAAATTCTCAAAATGCTTATTCAATCCCATGAATATTTATTTCCACTATCAACCCTTCAATTTTTGCCAATTACACCATCAAGCCATAAATTATGAATTCTTTTTAGAATTCATATTAACTTTCCCATTTAATTCATAATGACCCTTCACCATTATGATCATTTTACATTAATCACATAAAATTTCCAGCACCTTACTAAAATATTCAAATCAACACTTAAACATTCAAAAGCTTATAATTTCATCCTAAACTTTCTTAGACTTTTCAGTTTCAACCACACAACTTGATAAACTTGCAATTAAATCTCAACTTAAAAATGAACCCAAAAATCAACATACTAAATATAATTTCCAGCATTGCAATAATTATCCAAATGATACTTCTACATTTAATAAACTTGAAATCAAGTCTCTATAATATTGAGACTTTTCGAATTCCACCCTCACGCTTTACCAAACTTGAAATTTAGTTCCAATCAACTTTATAACTTAAAATTCCAGCATTTCTAATATTAAAATTTCAGCATTAAGACTCCATCTATCACATTTATGCAATAATGTCCCATAATTCTCAAAACTTGTATATTAGCCCTTTTACTAATTCAATCTTCTAAATTGATCCAAATTAATTTCCAAAATACATAGAACACTTCTAAAATCATTTCTAGACCATAGGAAATTTTTTAATATTTCCCCCTAATTTCTCCTTATGGCCGAATATAACAATTCTTTTAGGACTTGATTTTCATTTCATTTCAAGCATTAATTCAACTTCCTTAGATTAAATTCATGCTATTCTAACCATAACAACTTCAAATTACATCAAAATCGCAACATTTCCAAAAACCCTAATTAGGCCAAATAGTATACAAACATGTACACATCAAATTAATCATCTTACATGTCTTAGAATTAATCTCCAACCTTAAAATATCAAAATTTTATTCAATTCTTCAAACTCCAAAAATCCTACATAGACCCTAATTCTCAATCTCAACACACAAGCATCTTCACCATGAAATATTGATAACAAATGATAGAGAATTTCATGTAGATTAATTATCTATTTCACAACTTAGTCACAAAATCAATCATGTAAGCTTAAAAAATCAAAAAAATATATAAAAATTTACCTTGGTGCTCGGTGGTTTTGGCCTTAGAGAGAAAAATAGATGAAAATGTTATTTTTCCCTTGATTATTCTAGTATATAGTATCCTTAACACTTGGCATTAATATAATATAATTGAATTTAATATTCAATTAATGAGAAATTACAAAAATACCATTATGAAACTTGAAAATTACCAAATGCTTGTGTTATCTTCAAAATTGCATTTTAGTCACTAAATTTCTACTATTCAACCAAATCTGAAAATTACACTTTTCTGAGCCAAATTTCTTTGATCTAAAATATGAAAATAATATTTTCAACCATTTTATAACATCCTTCAAATTTTCATAAAATTCCAGTTCGATCCGATTATCCGATTTCAATACCAAACTTTATCGCTTTATAGCTTTTAACAAAATTCCCGTACCGAAAATTTGATTCCCACAAAAATTCTAGTTTTAGGTCAAACTATTCATTTTCAGGCTAAAATATATAACTTTTCAAAGTTACATTTTGGTCCCAGAGCTTTTCAAAGTTTACACTTTAACCACAAAACCTTCAAAACTTACATTTTAGTCACTAGTCAAAATTTGAGGTATTACCAAAGCTAGTTATGAATCATATACCGTGCTTCGCTGAAAGTTCAATTAATAGGTTAAATGCGTTTCTGTGCTTCAATTATGCTATCGTGATGTACCTGAAACTTGCCCTTCCTAATCATTAAGTTTTGCCATTTAGTTCAATTTGCATCAATAAGCCTTGGATGTTATTTTGTAGCCTGCAGGAGGTGGCATTGAGGATGCTGCTGTTAAGACAGCTAAGAGAATTCATAATCAGAAATTCGCCGAGCTTTCAGGTAATGACATATTTAAGGGTGACGTTCCGCCAGGTTCTGCTGAGACACCAACTAGTGCAGCGAAATTGCGGGAGATGAGCAGCAGCAACATATTTGCAGACGAGAAGGTCCAGTCTCGGGACTACCTTGGCAGTGTACGCAAACCCACTGGCGGCGAAACCAGAATTGCTTTGGTTTATTTTCTTAGGTCTAACCCGTGAGTTAGCTCCGTCGTTTCCGGCTGTTTTTCGGTTATCTCTTTCATGGAGGTGTGATCATATTATTTCACCTTTTTCATTGCGGGGTTTTCAGAATTATGTTTTAGGATTTAACATGTAAAATGAGATATGGACCATCATTAGTAATTACATTGTTAGTCAGTCTTGTGTTTTATCAATTACGAAATAATCATATATCTGAATTTAAGATTATAAGTATAATTTGCACGAACTAAGCTACTTCGGTAGTAAGAAAATTATTGTTATTTCTTGAGGTCCGAGTTCAAGCACCAGAAATATTAGGGGTGTGAGCGTTCAATGTCAAATAGTTGATAATTATCTTTGAACAAATATTATATTGTACTTATCCTAGATTAACTAAAAAAAAGATTTTACATATAATTTTGAATAATACGAACCAAATACTCTTCTAATTGAGTTCGAATACTCGAGTTAAGCTTTAAAATCTAAATTTTGTTCGAATTTGAATTTCTTAAAACTTGAGCTTGGTAGGATTCGGTTAAATAGTTGATGTTAACAAAATGCGGACGGATTAGCCAGTTTCATTGAGGTTGATCCCAATGGGCTTAGTTAATCGTTATTAGAATAAATCAAGAAAGTGCCAAATAAAGTTGTAAACGCGGAGTTTTGGCTTGGCTCGCATTATCCACACTATTTAAGGATAAATCAGAGCTCAAATTTCGAAAGCAGGTTCTCAATTTCATTTAGGAAAAAGAGAATGGAAGGAACCGAAGGGGAAACCATAGACGGTGCTCCAAGATTACAGATCGCCGTTCGATGTGCCAAAGCTGCGTTTCTGCTTTCTTCACTGAAATCATATTCTAATAGCGTCCTCCGATCTGCAGAAAACGACGAACTTGAGGTAAAATCATAATTTGACATTTCATACTCATAATCGCTCGAATTTGTGTTCAATACGGTTTTCAGTTAAGATCCTGATTAAAATCTCGATTTCTCCCGACTCGACGTAGAAGGAGAAGATGACGAGAGAAATAGAAAACCTGAGGGTGGCGTTAGTGAAGGAACGGCTTAAGATCAAGCAAATCAAGCAGCGTGGATCAATGGAGCTCACTCTTCAAGTAATCTTCGTTACTTTGATTTCTTGTTTCGTTATAAAGTTAGCATTAGATATCTTTCTCGATTGATGAAGATCTTAATTTTACCAACTACCGAGTAAACTAGCTCCGGCTTAAAAATTTTCAATATTTTCCATTCATTTTCATATATGAAAGTTACGAAATGCATCCGATTTTGAAAGAAAAATTCACTTGTTTGTTTTCAGATCATCAAATTGCCTAACAAATTTACGCATTTTTAATTTGTTAGAATATCTCATTTTAGGCATTGATTTCCTTTTATTTATTGATTTATGAAATTAATATAACTTCAGTAATATTTTTACATGTTTATGTATTCTTTTAATAACATTTAAATAAGATGGAAAGAATATTGCTAAAATATGCAGATTAAACAATCTCAATGAAATTTTGCAGTCATTGACTAGCCCAAAAACTCAGTTGAATAATAATAATAATAATAATAATAATAATAATAATAATAATAATAATAATAATAATAAAATAATAATAATAATAATAATAATAATAATAATATAATAAAATGTATATAGAGTTTTTTCCAAAAACTCAGTTGAATAATAATAATAATAATAATAATAATAATAATAATAATAATATAATAATAATAATAATAATAATAATAATAATAATAATAATAAAATGTATTTATAGAGTTTTTTTACTTAACTCGACACTAAAATCCACCACTTAAAGAGGCCGACGCTATAAATTATTGTATAAACAATCACTCTCATAGGGTAGATCCTATACCTGCACATAAACAAACATTTAGGGAAAAACCCCCTTACCTCATAATATATAAAATTAAAATCATAACAAAAAAATAATTAAAATATAATAAAACACCAGATGAGTGTTGTATGAGAATGAGATATGAATATATATTTTCTAAACATGAAAAAAAATAAAAGTGACCTGTATTTTTCGAAATCAAATGTACCCTTAAGTCCTCACCACATTTTCAATAGAAAGGTCCACCTCAAGCAGGTAAAGTTTACTGAATGGTATTCGAATACCTCATGCAAACAAGACCCTTGGCACGTGCTTCGAATATAAATCATACCAGGGCATTTGCATGTGGCCTGAAGCACTATATGTATACCCATTATTTTAGATAAATTATTTAATTTAATTTAATATATTAAGGGAGAAAAAAATTTACATACTCATTTTATTTAAAAAAAAAGTAGTATTAATAGTTTTGTATCTCCATTTTTTAATTTCTAGATCAGTCACAAAATTATACATATATGAAATTGTACACAGCTTAAGAGTTTCACGATTTTATCAAAATTTTTTAATTATTGATAATTTATATATTCTATAGATATAATTACTAATTTTTTTTATAAAAATAACATCTTCTTTCATTATTAAAATTATTTTGAATTATATAAAATTATTTTAATTGATATCAATTTGTATTAATATATTGATCTATATAAGATTTTTTTAGTTTAAAATTACCCCTTTATCTAAAAAACTATAGTAGTTTTAATTATTAAAATTAATTGATTATTTTATAATATATTATAGGGTACATTTATATAAAGAATAGTTTCATATTTTACTAATAAAATAAAAGTACTTATATATAAAATTATTTTTTAAATATTGATAAATTTCAAACAATATAAATACACAAATACTCATCCATAAACTTGCTTGAAAGGCCGAGTTTCAATATATATGAAATGAACTTGAAGACGAAAAGAACTGAAGAAGAAGAGAATTGATTAACCTTTTGAATCCGGTTCTTTGAGCTTGAAGAGCAGCTCTTTCGTCGGCGGTCACCGGATAACACCACCGGGAAAAATTACGATCGAAGAAATCCCAGTCCGGCAAGAGTATACCACTGATCCCGATCATTCCAAAGGCGTAAGTTATCATCATCTTCTTCAAAGACAACGTGGACACCCCAACTAAAACTATAATCAGCGATAACCACACTATAGCTGACCTTAGAGTAGCGTCTTTAGCCATCGATTCAACTCTCCAAGATGAAGAAGCGACGGCGGCTCTGAAAAATGAGGTAGAATCGAGGAAGGCTGGTTCTCTATATATCTTTTTGTGGTGAAATCAATGAAAATAATTGCCGCTTGTTGTCTCAACGGTTTCTGAACCTCTAAAAAAATCAGTAAATGTCGGTAGTTGCCAATTCAATTGAATTCGAGGCTCTTCCTGAGTTGGAGTACTTCTCAAATCATTAAATGTGAGTTCGACATCTTTGCATTGCCTTTTCGTCGTATACTATTTACTTTATTTTTTTATTTGAGAAGTACATAAATAGTATCGGATTATAAGACGTTATTTTATTGATTGTCTTAATTATTATAATTTATAAAATAACTTTTTAATTATAAATTGTTATTTTGTTGAGTCATTTGACTGTTAAGAATTGTAAAATAATCACTCAATTATTCATATATTTCAAACTCATCATTAAAAAATTAACGGTTGTTTGCGCTAGACTTTAACATACTTACTGAAATATGATAAAACATGATCACATAATTGTTTGAGTTGTATTTTGTGGATCGAGTCCCTATTTATATTATATCGTCGAGTCAATACTTAAAACATTATGTCGTCGAGTCAATCCTTGAAAGCAAAGACGGTGCTGATAGAAATAATTAAAATACGATTTTATCATATATCAACATCTAACTTTGACATCCGTCAATTTTTTAACATAAGAGGATGAGTTTAGAACATATGAATAGTTGAGTAATCATTTTTTAATTTTTAATAGTTAGGAGACTCAATAAAATAATATCGTATAATTAAAAGATCATTTTGTAAATTTCAATATAAACTCAAAAAGATAATCCTGTAGTCAGGGCCGGAACTACTAAGGGATTGGGAGGAGTTGTGCCCCCAACCCAGTAAATTTTTTTACATTTAATTTATATATGATTTAAATATCTATGGAATAATTATGAAATTATCCCCTTAAATTTATAAAAATTATATTTTGCCCCCTTAAATTGAAATCATAGCTCTATTGTTGTCTATAGTTATAAGATCATTTGTGTACTTTACTCATAATTATTTTAAGTTCTATTAAATAGATGTTGCTGATTCATAGTCAGAGATATCTATGATATAACTATATCAGGCGACGACTAAATAATTCGCATTTATTATTTCATAAAATAATAAAATATTAGAAAGATTTTTATATATTTAATAATGCAATTTAGGTTAATCTAACTGATTGTGAATTTTCTTTTTTTCTCGACCTTTTACATCAGAGCTAAACTACACTTGGATAAATCTTCTTGTGGTATCACACATTTTATTAAATATCTTATAATAATATAAAGTTCGATAAATTAATAATTAATATTATATGCCCATTTCTATGTTATTTTTATGGTGTTTTTTTTATTCAAAATTGCAAATCTAGAAATCATGTTTAAAATAAGCAAGTCCATTAGCATAGAGAAGCAAATAAAGTTTGCTAATAGATCTTGGACATCACTGAATCCACTACATTTTGGGCATGAAGCCAATCTCCCTTTGTGTCTCTAATGGACCGAAACGAACTAAAATGATAAAATATTTGAGCATAATTTAGATTAGAGTTTGAAAGTTTAAGTCGAGTCGAGTTCGGAACAAATTCTTAGGTAATGTGTTGAAGAAAAGATTCATTTAAGATAATGTAAAGATTATTTAATAAAATATTGTATTTATTATAATGTTTTTGGGAGGACGGTTGTACCATTCGATGTCTTTAAGAATATGTTTGAAAGACAAATGCTTCATGCAATTAAAACACCAAGCTTAAAAGACGATGAGTGATATAGGTATCTTCCCAAAGACAATGATTCAAGCGTGTTCTCAAAAACACTGCAATAAATATTATATCCTAAAGAATGATCTTTCCAACATCCTAAATGAACAAACTTTGTTCTCAACATATTATCGAATAATTTTTATCCATTGTGATATAAAAATCGCATAATTTCCATCGCTAAATCAAACTCGTTTAATTTCATTTACTTAATAAAAATAAATTTAATTTTTGTATTTGATATCTAATTAAATTATTTAAGTTTATGTTTGAAATTGAGTTTACATTTTTTAATTTTAATTAAAAAATATTGACTAATCATTCACGTATGTTTAGACCAATAATACAGGCGCCAACATTATTTGGTACAATAGGGTACTCTAAAAAATTATTTTGTAATCTATGATATTTGTTACAATATTAAGTAAACTCGTCACTTTGAGGGGATGAATTCTTAGATGTTATTTTTAATGGATCTAGGGATGTGGACCTTTTGTAGAAGATTTTTTTAATATTTTTAAAAGAACTCATCACCATGACCTGATGAGTTCTCATAAAATACATTATTATTTTTTAATTAAAATAATATATATATATATATATATAATTAAAAAAAGAATTTGTCAACACTACGCGAGTTTCATTTAAATTTGAAAATTATAGTTGTTGGTTGAATTTTAGGCAATGGCTAGATTCAAACGGATATAAACAATTAGTGGAAGGGAACTCGTCACTATACAATTTATTTTATTTGATATAAAACACTTTTCTAATTTTTTTTTTTGAAATGGGCGTTTTGTATGATATTATTGAATGAGTGCATACAAAACAACACAATGATAGATACCTCATTAGAAAAAAACCTCCCTATACCTAAGTTGAGAAAAAAGAGTACACTCAATCGATGTTGGAATAAAGAACAACAACATAGTTCGTAGGGGCAGAGCATAGTGATGGCCCAAAGGGACTCCGACCCCTGTGAAATTTGTATATTTAATATAATTTTGGTCTAATAGTATTTTTGTTCATGTAAAAATAAATATTTAAATTAAAAATATAAAAATTTATTAAATAATTAATCAAGTAGGATAGAACTAATAAAGGATAACCTTGTGTTCTCAAACTTTTTGGTCTAATAACAATTTAGGTTATTGTAAGTTTTAATAGTAAACAAATTAAATGTTATTTTGTGAATTTTGAGTTTTTTTTCCTTTTTTCTTTTTTTATAAATCTAGGGTGAATACAAGGTAAT